GCTGCATAGCAACCAACAACATCAACCAAGGTCCTGCCAATGCTGGCTTGGGGGGCCAACGGGTTATCTCTAGCTGGTAGAACACCAAGCTTGCCCAGGCACGTACGTGAGGCCAATGGGGATTGAACCCACGCCCTCCTGAATGCAACTTCTGTGCCTTACCAACTGGGCTACGCCCGCAGGCCAAGGCCCCCATACTGTAGGAAAAAAGTCCATTGTGTGAAAAGAGGGGTGCCTGAGAAGAATTGTTTCAGATCATTTTCATTGGATCTCCAAGGCTTGTGCTCCACTGTTTTTTCATTCGTTTTCACATGAATAGTGCAACATTCGTTTTCACATGATAGATGGACCCTCCCCGACGGTGCTAGATGTGTCTGCTCTTATCAGCACACCTAGCGTCGGATCGGGTTGTTTGGAAAAAAAAAAAAAAAAAAAAAAAAAAAGAAGAAGTGCAAAGGCCACGAAACAAGGAACTGGACCAGATTCGTAGTTAAGCGCGTACGGGTTCAAAGAACCGCAGCAGGCCCCCATCTTTAGTTTAGGGAAGCCGCCGTTCTTTGAACCCGTACGTGCTCAACTATGAATCTGGTCCAGTTCCTTGTTTCGCGGCCGTTGCACTATTCATGTGAAAACGAATGAAAAAACAGTGGAGCACAAGCCTTGGAGATCCAATGAAAATGATCAGAAACAATTCTTCTCAGGCACCCCTCTTTTCACACAATGGACTTCATCTGGGACAATTCTTCTGAGGCACCCCTCTTTTCACACATTGTCAATGGACTTTTTTCCTACAGTATAGAGTCTTCCCCCTCTATATCTATGACACCCCACCAGGGCCACCCCCCGCATCCCCCCCCCCAATATCCTTCCATCCTACCCAATTGTCTACCTCCAATGTTGGAACCCCCTCCATCAGAATTGTGCAATGACTTGCTGGTTTCTGGTCACCTGTAGCCTCACTCTGTCGAGGCTGTACCATAGGTAGGGACAAATTCGTAATTTTGTTTGGCTGAGGACTAACCGAGTGACCTGCCTGTGAGGAAACTATGTGAGGGGCATATCTGTAAATTTGGGAAAATACAGGCCCACTGAATTTCCTACTGCTATCCTAACTGTGAATAGCAGACCCGGGCTACCCCTAGGACAGCCAGGCCCTACAGGCCTAAGCTGATAGACGGTCCTATAGCCTATAGCCGGGTTGGGAGAGGCCCTAGAGGCCGAAACAGAATACCGGTCAGTCCGGTCTAGGTCGAGTCTAGGCTAGTTTAGACTATACATAGTATGGGCACATCGGTTCAGGGCTTTTGGCAGTTGGTGCCGAGTACATCGCTGCTGTGCAACGCGTGAACTGGAAGTGGTGACAGCTCAGCGTTGAGGGAGACGGACATAGCCAGACCTTCGAAGTGCTGGCCATAGCTGGGACCTGCGCTGTACTCTGTCAGCATGCGGGGCTGTACAGAGGTCTGGGTTATTGAGGTCTGCTGGAGGCGAGAGAAGTTGGTGCCCTGCTGGACCCTCCTCCGGAGTGGGGTTCCAGGGTTGTGGCGCTGCAGCCATAGCTGCAGCGCCTTCCTCGGAGGTCAAATGTCAGGAGTGGTGGCGCTGCTGCAGACTTCCACCCGGGAAGTCTTTCGACACTTTCTCATCATCAGATACTGTGGCGCTGGTCTTCTTCTTCATCCTCTGAGTGGCGCTTGGCCTCAGAGACCTGTTTCAGGGTGGCGCTTCCCTGTGGAGGCTGTATCTGGTTGGCGCTTGAGGTTTCAGGGACTCAGGGGTAGTGATAGCGGTTCATCAGGGTTGGGGAGTGAAGCGCTGCTCATCTCTGAGCAGCGCATCATAGTTCTGAAGTTATTCCGACAATTCTAGACTCTGAGTATAATAAACAGTGTTGGTACTGGGTTTGGACTCTCATCGTTTCATTGTTTGTTGGATGTGATCTACTGGGCTTTTCTTTATGACTGGCTGTGAGGATTGAGTGAAGTGAATTGCACTTAAA